TTTCCGTTTGTATATCGCCCATTTCTAAATGACCTTTGCTTAGGGCACCTAGTTTTGAGTGAGAAACACGAAATTTTCTCTCTAAACGTAGACTGAAATCGAAAAAGCGATTAACCGCATAGCTGCATGATCGGGTAGCGGGAAAAAATTGTTTACCAGTAGATGAACAATCAGATTCTGAATTAGATTTGGTAAATTTAGTTCACGCTCGCTCCCGTTTGTCGAATGCAAGCGCAGTGGATCGAAACGAAACAGGCTTACTGTCAAAATCGGGTCAGTTTGTTTATTTTTAATTTGAATTGAAATTAAATTTTCTTGTTTTTGATACACATTTTTGTGTCTATTAGGCCAAAACAGCTGTTTTTGCCTATCTGTTTTTTCAACTATGCCAGGTACCACCAAAAAGCAACTTGTTTGACGACGGTGTCAGTTGATCTTTATTAAGAAATAGAATACGGGACTTCATTAAAACTCCAAGTATAAAATTTCATTAAATCTCAATCAGAGATTCAAAATAAGACTACAACTTTGGTGATTCAGGGATCAAAGGCGAGAAAACTTTCAAGGATATTGATTTGAGGATGGTGAGAAGATCTGTTTGATTAGTTTTTGAGGCGCGTTGTCTCTCTTCAAAATGATTAGTTGAAAAAAGTTAGAACAAGGTTTGTTGCTGCCCGGGTCGACGTACTCGACTTATGTTTCGAATTAGAAAGTCGAGCAAGTGCAATTTTAAGTCGAGCAAAAAGTCGAAACCTACCCAATTTCGGTGGAGAAAATTGAACCGAAGGTCGAGAAAAACAAAACATACACAATTTCGGTTAAAAAAATCGAAACCTAGTTCGAGCACAGTCGAGCACACTGAGTTCTCGTTGTAAATTGAACAAAACATTTCAAGACAGGAAAACTTCTTGTTTTTTTGACATTCTTTTTCTTTTGGTTTCATTCCTCTTGGCATTATCTTAGAATTATGCAAAAAAACACATAATAGAGTCAATGAAAAGCATGTATCTTCGCTAGCAGCACCAAAATTCAAAGAAACACTCAAATCTTTTTTGCTTAATTATTAGATAATGTCAAGAGGCAACCAAAAGAAAAAGAATGTCAAAAAAGAATAAGTTTTCCGGGCTTGAAAAATCTTTCCAATCACCACAAGACCTCAGTTGAACGAAGTTTGTTCGATTTTAGATTTTTTACATCATTAAAAAAAGCCACAGAAAACACGCAAATTTTTTTGATAAATCCGCTTGAGTACTTAAAAATTGAGCAATTTAATTGTTACATACTCCTTAAATAAAGATTGTTAGTTTGAAAACATTCCCACTCTCATTTCTTCATTCTCATTACATCATGTTTTTTGGAAAAGTAGAATCAGTACCAAGATCAAGAAATTATATGCCAGTAACAATTACTAGTGCAAGGTCAAAAGTAATCAAATTATTTTCATAGGACCAAATGAATGACTATCATCAGAAAAACAATAAGAGAAGCCAAACAAACCTCTTCACCATCAAAATCAAAATGTAATGTTCAGAATCATTTCAATAATCATTTGAAGAAAACTAAGGCTTACTGCCTCTTTTCTCAATTTTTCAAACCTAATTTCATCATCTTAAAACTAATTAGAAAAACCAATAGTCTTGAGTAAAAAAAAACATTTTAAGCAAAAACAGCTATGAACAATAGAAAAGAGCTAGGATACTTAATTAGAAAGTTTCCGCAAACGCAGTACCAGAAACACTCATTTCAATCTTTTAATAGCTGATCTGAATTACGAATTATCAAAACTTTTTAAAAAGGGTAAATACTCTCCAATGATCATCTTGACATTGCTTTGCTTCAGCGGAACATTTGTCGTGTTAAATCGTCTAAGAAAACTATTTAAGAGTAAGACTCATTTTGAAAAAACGTATTAGAAAATTTTGTCGTTATCTTGAGATTGTAATATGTAACTGTCTAAGCTATCAGCAGAAAACAAAACTTGTTTTTAAAAAAAATGCTTTTAGTATTCAATTTCGCAATTCATCAAAAACCATATTTGATTTTAAAAATAAAAATATCCCGAACTGCAATTTACACTGCCCAGGTGTTTCATTCAATGTAATACGAAGCCATTTCTTAATAAAATTTGAGAAGTATAAACGTTGGGCAGCATACAAGCTGCCGCCGTTGTATAATTGTTTTTTCTCCTGTTCTCCAAAAACAGTTAATATCAGTTTTTTGTTTATAGAATGAAAACTAGCATTTCACTTAATGATAATAAGGCATGATTAATTACCAATCTATTTCAAACTCTGAAAATTTTCTTCACACATCAAAAATATAGCATAATTATATAAAACCTAATACAAAACAACAAAAAAACATTAAAAGAGAGTGTAAATTTCTGTTATATATGAAAACGTTGAGGCAAGAATACGCACATTTTTTCCGAAATTGAGACGATAAACTGTGTCAGCTTATGAAAAAAATCTGAAATTATTTGAATATTGTTCATTTATATTTTTCTTTGAAACCTTTTCAGTTTAAAAACATTTTTAAAACTTTCCTTTAACTTTTATCTTGAGTGCTTTTTTTTCGACAAAGTTTTGTCACATATTTTTTTAAATTTGCAAATTCACATCTTTTAACAAACACTGAGTTGTCCTCCATGGAATGACAGAATGTAGTTAAAATTATAAGCATCACTCAATCGAACACTTGAAAAGATTACCTTTTTTTGAAGACAATAAGCATCCAATATACAATTCAGAAGCGGATCCAGGATTTTCGCGAAAATTAAGTTTCATCGGTGTGCATTTCCCCTCAAATTTAGTATATATTGGCGCCGAAAGCGCCTCTAGTACACTTTTAGAGCTAGTCAGCCAAAAATGGATATCCAAAAAAAGGCGCAAGAGGTCAAACCCCTGAGGGGGGAGGGGGGGTTGGGTTTGTTCTCTTCTTCTTTTTCCCTAATCCCACTACTGATACAATTTCATGACTTTTTTCCGACAAAAATTATTTAAAAGGTAATAATTTCAGCCAGGGGCGGATCTAAAAAATTCTTGAGGTGGCGGTTTTTTCAAAAAGTTTTCGTAAACTTTGTCGACTTTTTTTAGGTCGACTAGATTGATTTTCCAAGCTCTCTCAAGGCACTAAAAGAGTTTTTTTGGCAACCGCTTTCCCTCAAAAATTGTAAATATTGGCGTCGAAGGCGCCGTTAGAAAAATTTTAGGATCCGTCAGCCAAAATTAGATATTTCACAATAGTACAAAGGGGGACCCTTTGATTCGGCAGTGAGTGTAAATTTGTCCAACGCCAATTATCCGACGCCAAAAATTTATAAAATTGTCCGACGCCGATTATCCTACGCCAATAATTTGTAAATATTGGCGCCAATAATTTGTCCGACGCCAATTATCCGACGCCAATAATTTGTAAATTTGTCCGACGTCGATTATCCGGCACCAATAATTTGTAAATATTGGCGCCAATAAGTTGTCCGACGCCAATCCGACGCCAATAATTTGTAAATTTGTCCGACGCCGATTATCCGACGCCAACAATTTGTAAATATTGGCGTCGAAGGCGCCAAAATAGTACAGAGGAGGGATCTTTTGATTCGGTAGTGGGTCGAACCCTGAGGAGACGCCAATAATTTATAAAATTGTCCGACGCCGATTATCCGACGCCAATAATTTGTAAATATTGGCGCCAATAGTTTGTCCGACGCCAATCCGACGCCAATTATCCGACGCCAATAATTTGTAAATTTGTCCGACGCCGGTTATCCGACGCCAAAAATTTGTAAATATTGGCGCCAATAGATTGTCCGACGCCAATCCGACGCCAATCCGACGCCAATCCGACGCCAATTATCCGACGCCAAAAATTTGTAAATATTGGCACCAATAATTTGTCCGACGCCAATCCGACGCCAATTATCCGACGCCAATAATGTGTAAATTTGTCCGACGCCGATTATCCGACGCCAAAAATTTGTAAAGATTGGCGTCGAAGGCGCCAAAATAGTACAAAGGAGGGATCTTTTGATTCGGCAGTGAATCGAAACCTGAGGAGACGCCAATAATTTTTGGCGTCGAAGGCGCCAAAATAGCACATAGGGGGGACCCTTTGATTCGGCGGTGGGTCCAACCCTGAGGAGACGCCAATAATTTGTAAGTTTGTCTGACGACGATTATCTGACGCCAATTATTTTTTAAAAATTGGCGTCGAAGGCGCCTTTAGAAAAATTTTAGGGTCGGTCAGCCAAAATTAGATATCTCAAAATAGCACATAGGGGGGACCCTTTGATTCGGCAGTGGGTCCAACCCTGAGGAGACGCCAATAATTTGTAAGTTTGTCCGACGACGATTATCTGACGCCAATTATTTTTTAAAAATTGGCGTCGAAGGCGCCTTTAGAAAAATTTTAGGGTCGGTCAGCCAAAATTAGATATCTCAAAATAGCACATAGGGGGACCCTTTGATTCGGCAGTGGGTCCAACCCTGAGGAGACGCCAATAATTTGTAAGTTTGTCCGACGACGATTATCTGACGCCAATTATTTTTTAAAAATTGGCGTCGAAGGCGCCTTTAGAAAAATTTTAGGGTCGGTCAGCCAAAATTAGATATCTCAAAATAGCACATAGGGGGACCCTTTGATTCGGCAGTCGGTCGAATCCTGAGGAGAGTAGAGCAGCCCCTAAATCCGCTACTAATTCTAGTTATACTAATTTTTTGAATTACACTTGAAGTTTCGTAAGAACCATACTTTAATGTTTGGTGGGGATGAGAGTTTTTTATTTTTCCACCCAAACTTTGAAAGAGAGTTTTTTCGTGGCGTTTTTTTTTTCAGAAATTTGAACTTCACTTTGTCCGTTTCAACAGAAGAAAGGATCGGGTCTGCAAATTTTATTTGAATAAGTTTTTTATCTGAAAGCTTAATTTTAAGAAATTAATTTTTCTTATTCACATATGAATTAAATCATAAATACTTTATCATAAAAAAATAGGTTTTCTTACCTGAAAAGCTACAATGAGGAATGTGAATTTTCTGAGGTCACTCTTTGACAGAATGTAGAGAGCGAGAGATGTGTTTAGAATGATACTCAGCACAGACAAGATAGGGTTCAGCACCCGTTCCACCGACTCAGCTTGCGACACATACTTGTCGTAGTTCTCCCACGGCTCCACCGGCTTCGAATCCCTGCCTCCGATGCCGTCAATTATTGAGCGAGTGGTGAAATTTGGCATCATTTTTTTTAAAAATGAATACGCAAAGTTGAAAAAATTTGTTCAAAAAGAATCAAAATACGTTTGAATTTTAGGCGAGCGCAACTTGACCGTTATGTATAATCAAATGAAAAGTAATGAGGTAAAAAAAGTTATGATGTATTTCAGACTACAAATTTTAAACTCACAGTCAAAATTTTCAATTTTTGTGTCTAATTAAACTGAAGAAGTGTTAAATTATTGCGTTCTGTTTCTATTGACGTATTTCTCTGATAAAATAATTTTATTTATTTTTCACGGACTTGGAACCAAAATGTTTATGAGCTTCGAGCAAGAATAAAAAGTTGAAAAAATTCTTTCCAGCAGCGAAAGCTTCAACAGAATTGGTGAAATAATAAGTCTAAATTCTGTTTATTCTGTGCCATTTTGGTGTCCATAGTTCCTGTATTCTGCACTAAATATGCCATGTCAGCATTTTGGCCAATGAAAATTGATTGAACAAGACAAGGTATTGGTAAGGACTGTTTATGAAGGTACATTCACTTCACTTTTAGACGTGTTTGGGGGCATCTAAAATTGCCAACTCAATCCAAAATAACGGTCATTTTATTCTGCACTTTAAAATTAATATGTCAGTTTTTTCTGAATTTATTGCCAAAAACTAATACTAAAAGTGCCTGGCTATATTGATTTTGAGGATAAAATTGATGAAATAAAATTAAATGAAGCATGAAATATCCCTAGCTTGCAATAGCTTGCAAAAAAAAAACAATATGAAGTGTATTTAAACATACAGTTATACAAGGGGCTGATATAAGTGAAATTTCATGTTGTGAAGTATCTTCAAGTTTATCGAATATAGGGTGAAAAATATTCCAAGTTTATTAAAAATTGATTGATAGGTGGAGCTTTATTAACTATTTTTTCATATCGCTATTTGTAAAAGAGCTGTAAAAAATATGGTTAGGAAAAAAAGGAAACAGAATAAAAAATGCTATAAAAAAATTTTGAAGCAAACTCATCAGATGATTTTCATTACAATTATTAAAGAAACAAAAAAAAATTGAAAACTGATCTACAAAATGTCCAAAAAACTACATTTTTGCGTACTTCCTGAAAAAAAATAACTTTTTTTATTAATGGGAAAATTCGAAAGAAGCTTTATAAGCGGTCATTTGACTGTGACGATTATGCAAGTGTTCTGATTCGAAAATCAACTTGTATCCAAAAATATCAGATAATAAACTTTCAATGATAAAATTAATTGAGAATGGTCTCTTCTTCTCGGTTTTTATGCCTGAATAACGGTGTATGACTGGTAAAAGAAAAAGTAACCAAAAATAAACATTTTCTACCCGTGTAAACTTAGAGCTACAGCAAAAGCACTAACATAATTGAAAATCTTCTGAGCATAAAATATTGCTTCCCTTTAAATAGACATGTAGAAGCAATCTCAGCTGGGGTAATTTTAAAATACGAAAAACAATCGAAAAAGGAGCAGCATTAGGAGGCAATTTTGAGAATTATCAGTCCAACATAGATCAAAAATGCTACACGGGTCGAGGTGCTCGCTTTGTCGCGAATTTTTCAACCAAAAATTGGAAAAATTGGTGCTCAATCAGTTCTCGGCATGTTTAGACTTTCTCGACCACATTTCGGTATTAGACTTTCTCGACCAAATTTTGGCATGTTTTGGTTTTCTCGACCCAACGAAAAAAGTTTTCGACTTTGTCCGACCCAGTACAGATACGTTTTGACTTTCTTGACTAAAAATTGATATGTTTCGACCTTCTCCACATTGTCGACCGACATTTTTTAAAACTTGTTTGTTCGAACCCGCATAGATACGTTTCGACTTTCTCGACCAAAAATTGTTATGTTTAGACTTTCTCGACATTCTCGACCAACATTTTTTACAACTTTTTTTTGTTCGACTCTGCATAGAAACGTTTCGACTTTCTCGACCAAAAATTGATAAGTTCCGATTTTCTCGACATTCTCGACTGAAATTTTTTGAAGTTTTGTTTTTTCGACCCCACATAGATACATTTTAACTTTCTCGGCTAAAAATTGGTATGTTTCGACTTTTTCGAATTTCTCGACCGATAATGTTACAACATTTTTTTTCTCGACCCCGCGCAGATATGTTTCGACCTTCTCGATCAAAAATCGATATGCTTCGACTTTCTCGACCGACTTCGTACTGTGCTCGACCTATCTTTCGACTGTGCTCGACCTATGTTTCGACTGAGCGTGATCTATGTTTCCACTGTGCGCGACTCATGTATCGACTGTGCTCGACCTATGTTTCCACTGTGCTCGACCTATGTTTCGGCTAAATAGAAGGATATCTGTTATTTTTCTACTGTGCTAGACTTATGTTTCGACCACGCTTGGCCTATTTTTCAACCGTGCTCGACCTATTTTTCGATTACTCTGGTTTCGAAAAAAATGTATGAAACCTGTTTTTTCATAGACTAATTGGGTGGAATTGTATGATTACCCAGGTCGAGGTGCTCAGACACATGTGCTTCAACTCGACACATGTGCTCGACCTATGCTTCAATTTTCTTGACCAAAGTTGGGTATGTTTCGACTTTCTCGACCAAAATCGTGTATCTTTCGACTAAAATTGCTTCTTGACCGCAGAATTTCAGTCGGAGATGCACTTGCTCCACTTTCAAAGTCAAAACATGTGCCAATCACCTCGACATGGGTAATCATACAAATACATACATTTAGTCAATGAAAAAAAAAGGTTCAGTTTTCATACAATTTTTTCGAAATCAGGGTAATCGACTGTAAACGTAGTTTTCTTTTAATTAGCGGTGTATTGACATAAAAATAAGCAAACTTTTATTCCGTGAGAGGAGCCATCATACAGTTTCTATATTTGAAAACTGTAAGACAAAATTTTCACAGTTTTTTTTCGAAATTAACGAAAAGTAATCATCATTTTAAAGAACAAAAAAATTTTTGGGTCCAAACTTCAAAATTTTATCGGTTTTTTTTCTTGCAAAGTGTGTTTGTATGGCAGCTTCTTATATTTTGTAAGCAATCAAACTTTTTATCCAAATAACTCAATTTAGAAGAAATTTACATATTCTAATAAAAAATATAGAAAAAAAATACAGGAACAAAAAAAAGTTGAAAAGTTTGCGTTGAAAAAAATGCTCTTTCTATGAGAGAAAAATGATAAACAGAGCCGTAAAAATCGAAAAAATTAAAGTCAGAGGTGAGAATAAAAAACAAAGCTTTTAGTGCTCAAAATTTTTAAAAATTTTTTCATTAGAATTAGTCGAAAATAAAACAACACCACAGAATCTTAAATTTGTAATTTCTAAAACCAATACATAAAAATAGCATAATGTCGAGGAGTACGGTAATTACTGACCTTCATCTCTTCGACCAATTATGAGGCAAAATTTAAAATAAGCGCTTGAGAAGTTTTCTGAAAAAATACGATGTAGCATGTTAGTATAGATTCCCAAATGAAGAAAACATAGTCGATGCTATCTTAGATTTCACTGAAAGACAGTTGAGAACGAAGAAGAAAATGGTGGCTCCGTGTGTAAGTAAAAATACTTTACGAAACATTCGACAACGTTGATCACAATATTTTACGGGAAAAATGCGATCTCTAAGATTTACGAGAAAAATTTGTAAATCTTTTGAGGTCACACATTGAGAATCGTAAGCAGTACGTTAGTTATGACGATTCATTATCGGTCATTTAAAAAATCAACTATGGTGTAACACTAGATGGAGTCCTGGTTCATTTGTTGTTCTGTCCTAAAATTTAACTGAGCGCGGCTTTGCACCTCTAAGTAAATTAAGTTTGAGGAAGAACTAGAACAAAACGTATAGTTCTGAACCTCCTCTGAAAATAATTTTTGAATCGCTGAACATAGTTTTTTTTGTGTTCCGGGAATGCTTGAAAAAGACGCAAATTTTTGGTCGAAATTTTCCAATAAGTGCTCAAGTACGGCAATTGTGACCGGTTTTTTAAAAAATTGACTGTGGCGAACAAGTTCTTGTCATAATAACAAAATAATCGTTTCTCGAAATATTATGAGCCGAAAGTGGTAAAACGTTTGAGATGCTTTTCGATAGACACCTTAGCTTGCCTCAACTCGAATTGAGAAGGTTGGCAGCAAGGCATAACTTGCCTATTATGCAGTGCTGTTGATACATATATAAAACCAAGCGCACGTAAAGTGCTCCAAATGGGCCCTCAACGTTGTATAGAAAAATGACTAATAACACTGCAGGAAATACTCCCGACCAAAAGTGATTAAAACTGAGATTTTTTATGTGAAAACCAAGCGATGAGGAGGTGTGCTTAGTCAAAAGCGGACTTTGGGGGGGGGGCGTGGTTTGATGCAGACGCTTTTTTTTTTTACTCAGGGATGTCACCCCGCGCCATCCATAGAGTCCTGATTTTCAAGTGTTTATGAACACTTTCAGCAGACCGACCGGAAAATTTTCTTTTTAAATCATTCGTAATATGTTTCGGCTCCAAATTTTATCAATTTTGATGGAATTAAGCGTGCCGAAAATTGCGGTTTTTTGGTCAGCACTTTCAAAAATCCAATGCCAAAAAAAACACTACAAGTTTTTGTCACTACAGTCGGTGCTCTTCATGAACATTTTCTACTTCTTACGATTAAAAGACACTTTAATTTTCCTTGTCTTTCATTTGAATATTTGTAGAAAAACACAGAAAAAATTAAAAAGCCCCATTGGTTTTAATTTTTACAAGGATCAAAACATCGAAATATCACAAAAAAAATTGCAAAAAATAATAAAATGCTATTCGCTATTCTTTTATTCGCTTCTTGATCAATAATGTTCCATTTTAGTGAATTCAAAATTTCTTTCGATAATTTCATTTGTTTTTACAAAAAAAAATCAAGAAGTTAAACGCTGGAAAACAAATTTGTTAAACCCAAAAAAGTTGGCAAGATTTTCACGAATTAATTGGAAATCAGTCTCCCTCGAATAGTCCGATATAGCTCCTGGG